CATTAACCATTTGATAGACTTCTAATTATATCACAGATTATACTTTTCCCGGGCTATAAAGGGTAGAACAGCTAAAATATCATTACCGGCAATGATAGTGATAACTAGAATTATAGCATTTTAATAAAATATTTAAATATAGAATTAATATTGAAAACAGTGTTTAAAATTAAGAAACTGCGAATACGAATAATGCTCCTGTTAGACGACTCTGTAAAGGACATAAAATATTACATGAGATCCATATATTACATTATGCATAGAAAGTTTTTTTAAACTTGAAGACTTTGGTACTTAATTAGTCTTCATAAGTGACCCATCGAATAGTTGAGACCGCGAAAAACTGGATGTTTCTACCCAGGCGGATGGGTTTGGGTTATTTAATTATGGCAAAGCACACGAGTGCTATCTGCCTAAAGGGAGGGATGCCTTCGTGGAGGACTTTCTAAGGGAAACTGGCTCATATACATGGGAAATGCATCGTTATACATGGGGAAAACCACGAAAACGCCCATGCATCCAGCCCGTTCGCGGGATTCGAACCTTGGACCGAACTACCAGTGTTTAGCGTCTTTACCGCTCGGCCACTGGTGGGCCCTCCAGGCGGATGGGCTGGATGCATGGCTAATTTCTTTGATTTTCCCCAAATGTAATGTTAATGCGAACTATTTTCTTCTAGAAAGTCGTTTACGAAAGAATACCTTCCCTTCGACAGACAGCCCTCGCCAGTTTTGCCATACTCAAATAACCTAACCTTATTAGCAGCTGCTAAACACGAATGCACGGAAATTTCAGTAGAATTATTTATATTTCATTAGTCTGAGCAAGAATCGGGCAAAACGTAAGTGTAAGAAATAAGAAAAGAAATTTTAACTTGATTATTTAAAATCTAACTTAATTATTTTGAGATTGCATGTATAAATTTTTGTAATAGTCATTGAAATATATGATAAACGTAAAATAAATATGAAGTTGTTATGAAATAGCAAATATTCGAGATCGAATTTCTGAAAAAATCAAAGAAATTTACTTTTTTTCTGCACTTATTACTAAGCACTTTATTCGATTAAACGTAGGCATTTAAAAATATGTAACAAAAGACTGTTATTTTTTTTTCAGAATGAAAGCATAGTTGATAGATCACTTTAGTATGAAGCAAATTCACCAAACAGTGGGTTTTAGATTTTGCAAGCGACAGTTCGAATAAGCTATGAAAAATGAAACTAAAACATTCGTAAATTGGAGCGGCATATGAAAACCATCACCTTTTGGAGATGCAACGTGATATTGTGAAAAAACTAACATGAAATATGGAAGCTCTTAAAAATGAGATTGCACTATGTATCAAATATTCCAGTATTTCGTTTTTCTAAGTGGGTTTATTATGAATGCTAACATCAGTGAATATGAAAACAGGAAATTCCAGCAAAGAAACTCATTTCACGCACTTTTAAATTTTAATGAAAATTAGATAAAACGAATAAAGTTGCGGGTAAATTACAGAGGGCAATATCTATATTTTTAACTTTAAGAAAAGATGACATTTTTAGCACTGATATCCAAACACGCTCAATAAAAATTACATTTAGACAACTTAAAAGCTTATTTTTTTTTCTTTGGGAGAAAATTCATCTTATGTCTGATTATGAATCATCTGAAGTACAGCATAAAGCAATTCATATTTTACACCTATTTTATATGGTTGTGATTTTCAACGAAAAACTTACTACACAATTATAATAAATTAATTTAGAAAAATGTAAAAAACTTATAAATATGCAAGTTGTTAAGAAATCGTAAAAGTTGCTTTGTAAACATCACGCTCGTTTTAAATCGACGATTTTCGTCCCACTATCACGAAGAAGGAAGTCAAATACATCAAAAGAAGCCATCGTAGTTGAGAAAGGCGTCAAATGAAATACCTAATAACAAGGTTACTGCTCAGAATGTTAAATTAACTGTTTCGCAAAACATGCTTCTACTTTTGAGCGCAATTTCCTAGCATTCTCACTGCTTGTGACGTAGGAGGGCAAAGCACTGTTAGATTCCCCGCATCCACTCACTACGGATCAGTGTATCGATCCTTTTATTCTTAATACGTAGTGAATATCGGAAATTCGTCTGCTAGCCTCTTCCCCGCATGGCAGGGCAAAGCATGCTGCCTTTGTTTACATTTGTGCTGTCACACCTGTCGTCTTCGTCTCCGTCGCGCTCGCGGTTACGTTTTCTGATATCGGCTCACCAAATTCTAAGCAACGTTATTCGATCGCTTTATAGTTGTATCGAGGAAGAGAGACATTCATTTCTCTGTCAAAATTTTCATCACTTCCCACCTATCATGTCACCTTCTCATCATTTTCCCCGTTGGTGATGGATAAAATTTAATGGGTGTTATTAAATGTCCTAAAATTTTATTTTAAGAAAATATTTGTGTCTCAAACTGGATTTTTGAAATATCACAGTACGTTTGAGTTGTTGAGCAACGCTCAAGTGCATTTTTGCAATTTAATTTTTTAACTTTTAAATATGTTAATGTATAGAAGGCGTTTTAGGCTACAAAGACAGAACCTATGCGTGTATTTTATTCCTATATATCAGATTTCTTAAGCAGAAATGTTTACAATCACATTGACGTTGATCATTTTAAGAATGAGCTTTTGTTTCGCTAGCAATTTTGAAACAGGATAGGCTCAATATATCATAACAAGAAGTAGGGGGATGAAGCAATTTTGTTATGCCATAAAATTTCCATTAAAATAGAAACTTAATTATCTCACATAATGTAAGTAGCAACTTCCTAATGTAAATAACTTTAAGACGGTATATGGTCTTGATAATTTAATAGTACTATTATATTCTCTTAAAATTTCTCGATTATCAATTCGATGAAATCTGCTTCTTTCCTTTTAAATTGATTTTATCTAACTTGAAAAGAATCTGCTAAGCTTTTGAGGCTATTAAAAAGATAATCAAAGTTTATTAACAATTTTGAAAGAGTTAAATTTTTTATGGTTAGGGCTAAACCTAGAACTACATATTCTTTTTGCTTTCAAAACATTTCGCTTTAAAAATTACTTAAATCATTTTAATTAAAACATTTAACACCTTAAATTTATACCTGAAATGCATTTTAGGAACTATTTTTAAAATGACATTATGAGGTGTGGAATATCATTATTACTAATTACTACAGCTACAAAAAGATCACGTTCTTGCCTATAAATTATATTAATTTCCCTTCGGTTATGCATTTTAGACTTGTGATTTGCTATTATAAATGTAATAATCCATTATTAAATGCGAACCATCTGCTAAGAATTTTAATTATTTGACAAAGCTCCATTTCTTAGCGTATATATTGCATAACTCAAGCAAAACATCAAAATATGCAAAAAAAAAAAAAACAAAAAAAAAAAAAAAAAAAAAAAAAAAAAAAAAAAAAAATTAAATTTTATTTCTCCTGTAATAGAATGCTAAAAAATTCTCGTTCAATATATAATAGCAATTAATGTTTCATTGTTAATTATAAAGCGATGACACTACATCTGTAGTTCATGTAACCACTTTTCCTTCTGACAAAATTCCAGTATTTTAAAACATTTCTATTAATCGACATCATTACAAGTTTTAACTTATTGTTCTAACTTTTAACGTGAAAACAAAACAAAAAAAGTTTTGAATTGCATGCAATTTCAATGCAACAAAGTACGAAAGTTTCATGCTTTTAATACTGTTTAGTTTAATTTGATTTTGTAACATTCTGATACAAATTATATAGGTAAAGAAATAGGTCTCAAACTTTTTACAAATTACAAGATTATGTTTATGTCATATACTTAATGTATTTGAAATTATAATTTCCAAAACACTTGCATACATTAAGATTGTTTCTGATTAAATAGGATTGTATTATCTAAATTTCAAAAAAAAAAAATAAATAAATATCAGAATGAAACAATTGCATAAATTAGTCATGTAAACCTTTTACAAGTATTTTCAGAGCAAAACGTTTCTTAGCTAAATAAGAAATACTTTAGTTATATATTATGAGAAATGAATGCTTGAATATTTTTTTTAAAACCGTTGTGAAATAAAGACATTTCGTTACAACATTGAGATTTCATTCAATTTAATTTTACAGAAGCATGACTCTCCTTTAAACCATAAGATGTATTTATGAAAAAAACGTTATATTAATAAAACTAGCTGTTATATTCATAACAATTATGTATTAATATAACAGCAACATTACTTAATATAGTATAATAATATTAACCGTTATATTAATAACAATATAATAATATTAATAACAATTAAAATACTATTAACATTAATTTTTGCGTTAATAAAGGAAACATATTCGTGTATAGACTCTGTAATTTTCACCGGTGAAATTTTAATAGGAAAGTAAACCGTCTTACAAAACTTGAATTGCCATCCTCTCCCGCAATATTCTTTTCATAATGTATGACAGATAAATCCACATATAGTGCGAAATATAAAGGCATATAAACGTTTTTAAGTGTTGACAATTATGCTTTCAAATTCTACTACCTACGCAAGGCCAACTCCGAATTAAATGTTGTATTCTCTGAAATGAAAATAAAATTTATGTTATTTTTCGTAAATGAGAGAAAAGTAACAATTTCGCTGCAAACTGATGTAATGGAAAATAGTTAAACGGATCGGAGAGAAATATATGAGAGAATAGAAAGAGTTTTCGCTCTGAGCTTTGGAGGTAAAGCAATCGTGCTGCAAGAGGGCAGTAGCTTTTTGCATGGTAAAAAAGAAATAGGGTTCGTAGACAAAGGGAATGGGGAACGGAAGGGGGTGGCTAGGAGGGAATAATAATGAAACGGAGGAAACAAAAAATAAAAAAGGGGGAACTCCGAAGTCGTATCAGCGCATGCTCAGCGGAGTATGTCGGAGCGTGCGCCTGGGAGGGTGCGCAGTTGCTGCCCTTCGAGCAAGTGTGCAAATATGGCGGCGAGCTCCTGGCGTCTGTGGTGCGTGCGGCGTGGATAATCGCTCCGAACCCGGTTTTCCAGAGCGAAAACGCGATTCTTGTTGTGTTCTGATGAACGGGCAGTTCATGAGGAGTGCGGACTAGGCAGTCAATGAATGCGGATATGGCCGAGATTGTTAGCCACGATCGTATCTCCAGGGTTGTCGTGGTGTCCGTGGAACAGGAGAACAGCGGAGGTGGCGCCCCCCCGCTCGATGCCGTGGTCCCACGGACGACGGACTCCGACGACGAGGAAGACGCAAACTCCGTCGTCGACAACGTGGAGCCTTCCGTGGATTTGCTCTCCCGCTCCGACTCCGAGGAGGTCAGCGGCAACATGATCGAGGCGGCCGACTTCAGGGCCTTGTCCGAAGGTCCGGCGTACGCGAGTCTGAACGGCCGACTCAGCCCCGGCTTCTCGACGGCCTCCAGTTACGCTACGCTAACTCCTTTACAACCCTTACCCCCCATCTCAACCATGTCAGATAAGTTCTCGCACTATGCCCACCATGGCAATGTCAGCGGGAGCTTTACCTTGATGCAAAATAACCTTGGAATGAATTTCCAGTATGACAAGCTGGGCTCCATGAGTGTCATGAACATGAGTCCCACACTCGGAGTAACACATGCGTCCGCTGTGTCCATGCTGGCCGCTAATGGACTGAGTTCTCAGTCTATCCCGTCACCTCCTTACTCCCAGAACGGAATTCATACCCCAGAAAAATCGCTCAGTCCGACGGGATTTGAGTACTCTCATCGTGAGCTGGAATCTCCTCACAGCCCAGCTTTGCACACGCCCACCTCAATGATACAAACTTTGAATGGCCTTAACGTCCCCGGCAGCCCGCCGCCCGCCCAAATGCAAGCCCCAAGTCCCCCGAGCAAGCCTTCCCCGGGGCCCATGACCGTGCCGGTGGTCAGTTTGGCCCCTTCGGCTCTCAACGTTGCTCTGTCCCTCGCATCGGCCATCCCAGTGCACGTGACTGTCCAGCCGGCGGCTACAATTGTCAGCACGCCGCCTCAGCCCCAGCAAGTTGTCGTAGCTGCCCCTGTGGTTCAACAACAGCAGCAACCCCAAACTCAGCAACAGCCTCAACAAACACCCCCTAATAAGACCGTTATGGTTGCAACAGCGGTGTCTCCATCATCTGCAAAGAGTAGTGGGGACGAAGTTGAAGAAATAAACACAAAAGAGCTGGCGCAGAGGATTAGTGCTGAACTCAAACGTTACAGCATACCCCAGGCGATTTTCGCCCAAAGGGTACTGTGCAGGTCCCAAGGCACTCTCTCTGACCTGCTGCGAAATCCAAAGCCTTGGAGCAAATTGAAATCAGGAAGGGAAACTTTTCGAAGGATGTACAAGTGGCTCGAAGAACCGGAGTTTCAACGAATGTCTGCCCTCAGATTAGCAGGTAAAGTACAATATCAATTTTTTCGCATTTCATAGACATTTATATTTTTATGCATCTTAGGATATCATAAATATATAGGAAGAAAATTCTATAAAAACTCTCCTCTTCTTCCTTCTTGACGTAACACTTGCTTCATTTATATTAGTAATACACACTTTCTTCTTCTTTTTGAAAGTTTATTTCTGTGTTTGGGACTGAATTTTTTAAACATATTGAAACACTTAAAATATATGCTGTATATTCAAAACATTACTTTTTCACTATTTATTCCAAGAACCTAAATCAACAGTATGAATCAAAGCATTTAAGTAGAGTAGAAATTTGTCAACACAATTATTGCGACAAAAAAATTTGATCTGTTATTAATTATTAAAGATTCAAGCTCTAAACGTTGTACATTATATTATCTAAAAGCTAAAGTGCAATTTTTATTCCACGGTATGCATTTTTTAAGTAAACGACATCCTTTCTTACCTTTAAAAATTGCTTTTAATATATATTCGAACCGGTGTATGGTCTTAATATTGGATACTGCCAGTCAGAAGTCTCCGATGAAAGATATGTAATATACCGTGACTTTAAACACTCATACCATGTATATCTTATACCCTATAAATGTGTGTTTCTTGTTACTAAATATACTTAAATTTTATTTTTATTAATGATTGTGTGATAATTTATATTTAAATATGAAGCATCTATTCCTTAGAAAAGAAATACTTTAATTAATTTAGATCATGCTAAATTATATCAAAATCTGTATATAATTCACTACAAATAAAGACAATACATAATTTCTATTACATATTAAGAAAAGCTGGTAGCTATATTTTTGAAGACTTTTGATTCATGCGTGTTTCACGCACAGTGAACAACAGCATGTCAATAAAGAAAACTACACCATTCATATAAGATAAGCAGTTCGATACTAATTTAATAACTTAAGTAATATTTTTTGTAGAAATAAATGAAGGGAAAAATTCGAATCGTGATTTAAAAAAAATTTTTGTTTGTTTAGAAAAACAAATATTTTTATTTGAAATTTAGTAAATTTTTTTCACGTAAATTACTCAGTTTTTAAAGATATTCATATGTAATGAAATGAAATAAAATATCAAATAGATAACAAATGTACTATCATACGTTGCTTACATAGTATTTAGATCATTTATTATCATGTAAAAACGTTGTTTAAATTCAAATCAACAAACGCGTTTCTGTTTCCTCTTTCTGTACATCCAGCTTCACTGTACATAAAGTCAGTGTGCGGTGAAACTACATTTTAGTTTCCCTCTTTAAGGATTTCGTGTGGGGGATTTCGATAAAAATGTTCGCAAAAGAGATAGAATATAAATGTAGCATTCATCATAATTATATTATAAGTGTATGTGTAGCTTTGGCAAGCGCTAGTATTATTAGGAGCTTCATTTATTAGGCTCTGAATAACAGAACGTTACAGTGTATATTTTATTCGACTCAATGCATAAAAATTTCGTATCGCTTGAAGCAGAAAATAAGTACGGGATAAGTGATTTTCTTACAAAAGAAGATATTAAAGTATTACAATAAAACCGCAAATGTTTTATTCTTTCAGAAAAAAAATTGACAAAAATTTATTGTTATAATAGTCACAAAGTAATTTTTAGAACGGTATTTTGTTTGACGTTTTGAAGATGCTATAATATCACACGCGTTAAAATTCGATACTTTATTGTTAAGGAAGGAAAAGCAGCATTTTGCATTGCAAAATTTATATAATACGGGTTTTGAATTAATTATGCTCAACATAGCGAATAAGTCTTCAGTTAAATTTACAAACTGTGCTGAGAATTAAAAAAAAAAAAAAAAAGGCGTATTATATCAGAATTTAAAATTCATTTCTAAGTTTCAAAAGAAACATATCCGTTGTTAAATTTTGTTTTAAGTAAATTGTAAAAAATAGTGATTTCACAAAATTTTTGTTTAAAGGTGCACAAAATAAGCTTGAAATTCAAAAATTAAAAAAGTGCTTTTGACGAAACAGTCATTTTTTGTAACTATGTTAATTTCTTCCCCCAACGCTTTTCGAATTATTATATTTTTGTTAATAAAAGTTGTTACGTAACGCATATTACTTCTATTTTCAAATGTCAAGTGAAGTATGGATTAATAAGAATGAAAACCTAAAGCAATATTTCAATTAAAGAACAGCCACTAGAATGTACATCTACCTATAATTTCCTTATACAGAATCTACCCAATACATATTTATCTAGAATTTCCCAGAAAAAACGTTTCTGAAATACCGTGAGAGTAAAATACGATAACGGGTAGTAATTGATTTGGGAAATATTTATGGAATACCGTATAGTTTAAGCATTTTACCATGCGATGAAAAATTAAATACCATAATATGATGATAATTTAAGAAGTTAGTTTAGACTAGCATTCTTGAAATAAAAAAGCAGCATAAATAAAAATAATTTAATTTTTAATATATAGTTACTTCATTTTTATCGTGCCACTTACATAAATCTTGGTTTATTATATGCTTACTTGGTTTTAAGTTCTTGATCTTCATAGCTGCATGTTTTTTTTTTTCAAAAACCTCACATTTTGTTTTATCAGAAACATATTTCTTGAAACGCAGATCTGATTTTCTAAATATAAATAAGCACTTGCTACTCTTAAAAAATTTATTAATATTCTCACTCATACTTAGAAAGAACATTTTAAAGAGCTGTTTCAAGGTAACTGCGAAATTTTCATATAATTAAAATTCATTTAAAAATTACATTGTTAGGAAGGCTTTACGCGTTTTTCACCTGTTACTGTATGATATTTTTATAGCAAGCTAATGAACATGTCGTATGTGTTCACCTAAATAAATTTAGTTCCTAAAAACATGTAGTTTGAAATATGAAAACATATATAAACTTGTTTTCGAAATATAAATACATAAAAATGTATATATAAAAACTTGAATAAATAACTGCAAATTTAAATTAGCAGGTCTTCAAAAGCAAAAAAAGCAATCTGGCTAACTGAATCTCAGATAATAAGAATTGTACTATATTTATATTTTCTTTTATATTATTGAACTTGTTTGAGGAGGCCACATTTAAAGCTCCTAAGTTAATGGCTCGTACTGCGCGTAATTATATTGTGTTATTTTAACTGCAGTAGCAGACGTATGCCTAATTTAGACAAATTAAAATGTGACTGAAATCCCTAACAATGATGTATTGTACAAAAGAGCAAATATTTTGAGGTAGTTGAAAATTAATGTGCTATAATTTCTTTACAAGCGCAGATGCTTCTCGCCTAAAAAATATAATATTCTGATGTGGTTGTTGTCTTCTCTATGTATTTCATGAAAGAATGGTTACTAGTGCTTCACGGAGGTTGGACTTCTACTTTCAATCCAGTTTTGAGGTAGAGCATCCCGGGGGTGGTCCGAGGGTCTCTGACCCCTCTCACCTACCACCGAACCACAGAAGAGGACTTTTGGATCGGCATATATTTAGAGTGCCTCCATGACGCAAAGACACTATACATTTATAGACACATATTCTTATCCCGAATCCAAACCCGGGCCTTAGGTACCGCAGTAGGCTCCTCTATCCACTATACCGTGTGGGCGGCAATATTCTGATAACTTTCCAATACGAATTAGAGATTTTTTACATTTTTTAAATTCAAAAGCAAGTACAGGAAAAAGGCAAAACACTCCATTTTTTTCATTAGTTTTCGGCTTATCTGTTAATATAAGGACATTCATAACAGTTTCATGAAGCTTTACATCAATATTTCATTACTCTAATTTTTTATTTGTCAGTAAGCGCAGGAGAAATAGTTACATTTATAAGCCCTAAGTTTTATTTAACAACAATTGATATTTAAAGTTTTAAATAAATTAAGTGATACACTTTAAAGAAACCTTCATTAACATCCTATTCTTAAGATAATACATAATACAGGACAGGTATAGCCGTTCAAGTCCAAAATAAATGTATGATTAGCACCAAAGGAAACTGTACTAGTTATTTACAAATCTTTCAGCTTTTAAAGTACTATGTTTAAAGCATTTAATTTACCTCTTAGTTAAGTCACTGGATAATTATTTCCTATCAATATGTGTTCGTATAGCTCTCTCAACTTTCTCGCTGGGACAAATAATAAATGTACAGCATTTAAAATTTAATGTACCATGAAAATATTTATGCTTTTGACAAATAATTGTTTTCATATTTCTTGTACAATAAGTAACATTAAGTACACAATAAGTAATATAATAAGTAGAATTTCTCTAAGTGGCATATTGCTACACTAACATTTTACATTTAGATTTAATACAAAAAGTTAATACCCAAATGTGATAAAATTTTCAAAATATTTAAGATTCCAGTTAAGAGCTTTCTTTAGCATTCTTTGTGCAATAGGCTCTATTTTAATTAAAATAAATAGCAATATATTATAAAATAATCTTTTTACATTTTCTTTACTATGATATGTTGAAAAATGATATAATGAAACACAATTTTTGGGGGAGGGGAACAAAAGTATTTTTCCCTAGTTGTTATGCAGTTAATAGAACCACAATTTTTACTTTTAATCAAGAATTACGACAAATTTGGGACATAAGAAGACTCTAAATCGAAGGTCACCTACCATCATTAAGGTTAGATATCTATAAAAGAATGGTAGCCACACCTGTTTTGCATTACGTGACGGAGCTCCAAAATGTCAAAAGTGAAGCTTCGTTTTTTGCTGCTGAACATCCTAAGCAGATTATCCTTGAATATTTGACACTTTTATCTTGAGAATGAATGAATTAGATGTCTCATCGCTTTTTTGTACTTCTTATACCTCTGGCGTGATTATCATCATATTTAAATGTACTACCTTTCCTGAGAGATACCCATATTAGTATCAACCGCTAAAGCGTCATCTCGCTAATTAAATGATAAATGTATAGCATTTAAAATTTCTTTACTATGCAGTAACTTAACAGTTTCTAA